TTTTCAATTTCTTTTTTTTATTTAATTTCCGAATAATATCGTTAAGGTGTAGTGGTTTGTTGAATGAACTTCCATTTTTAATTTTATGCAACTTCCATTTTTATTTTTATTCCACTTCCATTTTTATTCAATTTCCTTTTCTATTCAATTTCTTTTTTTATTTAATTTCCAAATAGATCGTTAAGGTATAGTGGTTTCTTGAATGAACTTCCATGTTTAATTTTATGCAGTTTCCATTTCTATTTTTATTCAACTTCTATTTTTATTCAATTTCCATCTCCATTCATTTTCCTTTTTTATTTAATTTCCAAATAGATCGTTAAGGTGTAATGGTTTCTTGAATGAACTTCCACGTTTAATTTTATCGCACTTCCATTTTGATTTTTATTCCACTTCCATTTTCATTAAATTTCCTTTTCTATTCAATTTCCCTTTCTATTTAATTTCCAAATAGATCGTTATGGTATAGTGGTTTCTTCAATGAACTTCTATGTTTAATTTTAGGCCGTTTCCATTTCTATTTTTATTCAACTTCCATTTTTATTCAATTTCCATCTCCATTCAATTTCCCTTTTTATTTAATTTCCAAAGAGGTCGTCAAGGCGTAGTGGTTTCTTGAATGAACTTCCACGTTCAATTTTATGCAGTTTCCATTTCTATTTTAATACAACTTCTATTTTTATTCAATTTCCATCTCCAGTCAATTTCCTTTTTTTTTTAATTTCCAAACATATCGTCAAGGTGTAGTGGTTTCTTGAATGAACTTCCAATTTTAATTTTATGCAACTTCCACTGTTATTTTTATTCCACTTCCATTTTTAGTCAATTTCCATTTCTATTCAATTTCCTTTTTTAATTAATTTCCAAATAGATTGTTAAGGTATAGTTGTTTCTTGAATGAACTTCCATGTTTAATTTTATGCAGTTTCCATTTTCAATTTTATTCAACTTCTATTTTTATTCAATTTCCATCTCCATTCAATTTCCTTTTTTATTTAATGTCCAAAAAAAATCGTTAACGTGTAGTGGTTTCTTGAATGAACTTCCAATTTTAATTTTATGCAACTTCCACTGTTATTTTTATTCCACTTCCATTTTTAGTCAATTTCCATTTCTATTCAATTTCCCTTTTTACTTAATTTCCAAATAGATCGTTAAGGTGTAGTGGTTTCTTGAATGAACTTCCAATTTTAATTTTATGCAACTTCCACTGTTATTTTTATTCCACTTCCATTTTTAGTCAATTTCCATTTCTATTCAATTTCCCTTTTTACTTAATTTCCAAATAGATCGTTAAGGTGTAGTGGTTTCTTGAATGAACTTCCAATTTTAATTTTATGCAACTTCCACTGTTATTTTTATTCCACTTCCATTTTTAGTCAATTTCCATTTCTATTCAATTTCCCTTTTTACTTAATTTCCAAATAGATCGTTAAGGTGTAGTGGTTTCTTGAATGAACTTCCAATTTTAATTTTATGCAACTTCCACTGTTATTTTTATTCCACTTCCATTTTTAGTCAATTTCCATTTCTATTCAATTTCCCTTTTTACTTAATTTCCAAATAGATCGTTAAGGTGTAGTGGTTTCTTGAATGAACTTCCAATTTTAATTTTATGCAACTTCCACTGTTATTTTTATTCCACTTCCATTTTTAGTCAATTTCCATTTCTATTCAATTTCCCTTTTTACTTAATTTCCAAATAGATCGTTAAGGTGTAGTGGTTTCTTCAATGAACTTCCATGTTTAATTTTATGCAGTTTCCATTTCTATTTTTATTCAAAATCTATTTTTATTCAATTTCCATCTCCATTCAATTTCCTTTTTTATTTAATTTCCAAATAGATCGTTAAGGTTTAGTGGTTTCTTGAATGAACTTCCATTTTTAATTTAATGCAACTTCCTTTTGTATTTTTATTCAACTTCCAATTTAATTCAATTTCCTTTTCTATTCAATTTCCTTTTTTATTTAGTTTCCAAATAGATCGTTAAGGTATAGTGGTTTCATGAATGAACTACCATGTTTAATTTTATGCAGTTTCCATTTCTTTTTTTATTCAACTTCTATTTCTATTAAATTTCC